AGATCCACTATTGCAGCTTCTGAAACTGGAGCTTTTGTTAAAATGCAAATTGTGACTCAGTAGGTCTGGGTAGGACCAGAGCTTCTGCATTTCTGACCAGCCTTCTGTGATGTCGATGCCTGTAGAACACAGACCACACTTTTAGTTGGTAGGTGAGGAGGGGAGCAGTTAGAGGGGTGGGAGAAAAGGCCCTTTTAATCTTTGGGCAGGGGGTCCCAGGTCAGAGAAGCTGGACCAGTCTGTGAGTGAAGAGAGTGGGTGGGAAGGAGAGAAGGCACAATGAGGCTCCGGGAAACAGCCGTAAATCAAGAAGACAGAAGCCTAAGACAAAGTCATCTCCAGGCCCAGGAGGCACAGTTGATCCCTGGGTAATAACATAACATTGATCACTAACTGGCAGAATTTTCAACTGTTTTGTTTCTCCATTAGGTCATTTGCCCTATATCATATGGCCAGTTACTGATATAACCAGAATCGGCTTCCCCAGAGGTAGCTGCTAGAAGCTTTTACAGTAGGTGGCACTCTTACTACATAGCCGTTCAGAGTTTAGCAAAGAAGGAGCAGGAGCCTCAGGGTTGCCTTGTAGGATAATTACTCAACCTTCCTTCAGTCCCCCTTTCACTGTTTCAGGTACCCAGGTAGATTTTTTCATTTCCATGGAATATGGGAATGTATCCTATGTGGATGCTGCATTTTTGTACTTTCAAGTGGTTCGTGGGGTTCTACTGAGCAGAATGTAATAGGGGGTGATTCAGATTTGTGCCAGCTCTCACTGAGGCCTGGAGTGCTTTTCCCTCCAAATTCAAGACCACCACTAACCCCCTTAATTATCTGTTCTCACCGGGCCGTTCTGTACACAGTTCAGTTTTGCCAAGCACATATCACTGTTATTTGCCCTTCTACTTTCTCTTTGAAGAGAAACCCATTGATTAGCTCCATTTAACTTCTCCTACCACCCCCCAATGAACACCTCAAACAAAACTCCTGTCATCTCTCTTACCAGCCCCCCTCACTTTCCTCCTTAACGAAGTCCTGAACGATGAAGCTTTATTTAGAACCCACCTTAACGTCCTCTCCAAGGTGGCATCTGACCTCACATTAACTAAGAAACAGCATTTTCCCCCAACCCTGCACTTCTCACCCACCACTCATTTCTTGGCCAAGTCTCAAGTAATTCTGGGACCCAGAATAGGTCCTACAAAAGCCTCATAGTCAATCACATTTTTAAAATATTTTATTTTTTAATTACAGTTTATATTCAGTATTATTTTTGTATTAGTTTCTGGTGTATAGCATAGTGATTAAACAATCATATACTTTACAAAGTGTTCCCCCTGATATTGCAAGTACACACTTGGCACCATACATAGTTATTATGATGTATAATCAATCACACTTAGGAGTTAGGTGGCCAAAATCCCTTCCACAAACTCCAATATGCCCTTGGGGAGGAAAGCCTTTCTCTGAATTCTCCCAGCCTGTCCTCCAGGGGTTGTAAAAATTGCCAGGGCAATGCATCCTGGGAAGAGCAAGTTTATGGTAATTGGGGTTTCTGCAATACTCCAAAAGGACATCCTCACCTTCCCAGCTATGATTCATTTCCAGCATTTCATTCATGTACCTTAAATGGTCTTTGACCACCACAGTTCCAAAAAACCATCCTTTTTGCCCAGTTCTCTTTCTGATCCCTGAAAGAGCTTAGAGAGGCACTGAAATTAGAAGCCTTGGTTCACTATTTGTGTTATTTCTAAACTGAGCTATAGCCTTGTGAGAACTGGCCATGAAAGCAGCAGTCATGAGGGAAGCTCTATACAGGGAACTATTTGAATTTTAAAGCTATCACTCAATGTGATTCCCAACTATTAAGACATAATGAAAGGGGGGATATCAAGTTGTTACCATCATCAGAAATCTTTTCCCAAGAGCAGTCCAAGGGATAAGGGGCAAGGGAGGAAAAGGGAGAGTTTTTGGTGATGGTGTAGAAGTAATGGAGCCTGTAACAGCTACAGTGAATCGATGGTCAGGTTATAGGAAGGTAACAGATGGGCAAATGAGTTGTTCTACTGCTGGTTTTCCTTGTTCTGGGATTTAAATTCACAGAACTATAGTACTGGATAGATCCTTATGACATTCGGTTCACCCCTTCATTAAGCAGATAAGGAAACTGAGCCTCATAGCACTTGCAGTTTATACAAAGCCACAGGCATTTAGTTAGCAGTAGAGTGGGAACAAAAGTCCCATCCTCCAGATGCCAATACGCATGCACGGTTCCAGAGTTCAATATCTAGTTCTTTGATCTCATTACTGACAAGATAGCATCTGGGGATTGCGTAAATAGAAATGGGGTTGTTCTCCCCTCTTGTTTCTTCTTTCCCAATATCTACCTTTCCTTTTTTAGGTGCTGCTTCCATGAAGAGTCAAGCGTATTTCAACGAGACTGGAGAACTTCCATGCTACTTTACAAACTCTCAAAACATAAGCCTGAATGAGCTGGTAGTATTTTGGCAGAACCAGGATAAGCTGGTTCTGTATGAGCTATTTGGAGGCAAAGAGAATCCTAAAAATGTTCATCCCAAGTACAAGGGCCGCACAAGCTTGGGCCAGGATAATTGGACCCTGCAACTACACAATGTTCAGATCAAGGACAAAGGCTTGTATCAATGCTACATCCATCATCGCAAAGGGCCCCAAGGAATGATTTCCATCCACCAAATGAGTATTGACCTATCAGTGCTTGGTATGTTGTCAATGGCGTGTTCAGATCCCTGGCCTTCTAGATGAGATTGCAGTGAGCAGAGAAACATTGGTGGGGGCGGGAGATGACCCGTAGAGAGAAGGCAGAGGACAGTCATTTCTGGGAAGTCCACTTGAAGATAATGCAGGGTTTGGGAGTAGGGAACTAAAAGTCCTTTGTACTTTTTATAGTTTGCTTCTGACGGATCAGTAAGAATCTGCTTTGGGAACAAAATAGAGCTAACTGAACAAAGGTAATGTGGTTAAGTAAAAACCATGGGTGATTTGGCCATTACTCAGTTTATATAACCATATAGACCTCAAATCTCTTTTATATTCATTTCCTCCTTTGGTCGAAGATTTCTCACCCACTGAATCTTTGCTTAGAGCTCCTAGTGAGGCTGACAAATTTGGGTTTTCCCTTTAACCTTCCAGAGGTTGCTTATGAGTTGTTTGCTGCCCAACCATGAGCCTGGTAGACAGAAGGGAAATAACCCGATGCATATAGTCTAGAAACTGGCAAACCAGCTCCTTTGTTTCTCCAGGCTTGAAAAGCCTAAATGACACTACAGATTTTTAAAAATTATAATACAGTAAATTTAATTGTTTTTATTATGGTGTAGAATTCTGTTAACTTTAACTTCTATATAGATTTTCTAATTACCACTCTTAAAAAAGGATATAAAACATCTCCATCTCCCTGAAAACATTTCCTCATGCTACCCCTTTGCAGTCACACCCTTACCACACCCATGACCCCTGTTTTTGCATCCTATAGCCTTGTCTTTTTGAGAACATCCTGTAAATGGAGCCACTAAGCATATAACCTTTTCAGATCAGCTTCTTTTATTCAACGTAATGCTTTGAAATATATTCAAGTTATTAGATGTATCAAAAGTCTGTTTCTTCTGATCACTGAGTAGCATTCTACTATTTATCCCCACTCAACCCATGAAAAGACATTGGGTTGTTTTCATTTTGAGGCTATTATGAATATAGATGCTGTAAATATTCATGTGCAAGTCTTTGTATGACCATACGTTTTCATTTCTCTAGGCTAGATAGCCAGGTGTGGGATTACTAGTTACAGATTAATTTTTGATGAAACTGGAAAAGGCAGATTAACACCAATTCTGAAACCAGAGTAAAGCAGAAGTAAAAATAGAAGCAGAATGGGAAGTTGCTCCCTTTAAGCCCTGTGTGACTCAAGCTAGGCTGCAGGGCTATAGGGACACTTAACCAAATGCTAAAGCAATGTTTTCAAAGTATGGCCAGGTTCTACAGAGAAACATAGTATGTTTTAGGTGAGACACAGACAATCATTTTAAAACATTTTTAATGGTTTTATATTTATTTTAATATGTATTAGAAAAACTATAACTAACTTATACAACCTGTGATTTCACAGATATTGCTAACAAGGCTACAGTAGATAGTACCATGGCATTCCCACCTTCTATAGACCACATAAAGTTACAAGCAGAGTGCTTAAGTAGTGTGTTGATATAGCAAAACTTGTAACTATGGCATGCAAATCACTGAAGTTTCAGAGACAATATGCTAAATTATACATCAGTATATAGAACCTGCAAATGACCTAGTTACTCTGGAAGGAGAGCAAGATATTTGGCTGGCAGAGGGAGTAGGTGCCAGTGATCCTCAAGGGCCATAAAAATCTGAATGGTAAACAAGGCAAGAGAAGCTCTGTGTTTATTAACGTCATATATGGCTGGATTTGCCCTTCATCTTAAAGTATGTGATGAAGATACCTTGACAGTCATACCCAAAACCAGTATTTTGAATATCTAAACCCCAAATCCCCACCCACTCACTTACCACCATCCTGCGTGGATTTCTGGGAGATAAGGCCCAGAGCACGTCAGCACCATGAACTCTGTTGGTTCTTGGTGGAATGTTAGCCTCAATTCCTTTATGTTCTTTTGGTCTGGTGACCTGAAGTGTACCCCATGGAACACCTGGGTCTGAAAGTCAGACCACTTCTCCTTCCAAAGACTTTATTTCTTAGAGAAGTAGCCTCATTATAAATTTTTGATGATTCAAATTTAACCCTTTTATCACTCAGACAGCATCCCCTTGATTTGGGTAAGCAGGAAGTAATCATGGCCCCAAACTCATTCTTAAAAAATAAACATAGGGCCATAATGTGGCTTTCACCATGGGCTGAGGCCCACCCTTTAGACACCCTGAGGATCCCAGGTGCACCCCCAGAGAGTTCCCAGATAAGGTGCCTACTCATTTGCTATTCTCTTCTAAATACATTTAAATTTAGACTGATTTCTTTCTCTCTCTCAACCCCTCCCTCTCTCTTTTTTTTTTTTTTTTTTTTTTTTTTT